GACAGAACCTGGGAATTGATGTGTTTTGCCATAAGCTATTAAAGAGTCTCCATTTCCTTCACTAAATATCTCCTCTAAAGAATGACAGTTAAAGCTAGCTGTAGTAGTGGTCTGCAGAAAAACAGACAAGTACATCAGGCTGTGGATACGAAGCTGGCTTTTTTGGGGGGCAAGTACTAATTTGTAGGGCAGGCAAGCAGGATGGAGAGCCTAGAAGAGCTTAGATTTCAGCTTGAGGTTGATGGATGTCCGGGAACAGGACTCTCTTCCTTGTGAAAATTCACTTTTTTTTCCCCATTGCATTTGAATAAGTATAAGAGGACATCCAAAATCATGAAGTATACTTTGCTTCACTTCTGGTCTACTAATTTCAATATTAACTATACCGAAACAAATGTGCTCAAAGGGGCATCTAGACTGATTGACCAGAGAGAGACTGGCTACCAAGCCTTGAAAAACTGACTAGGCGAGTGATTCTGATTTCTTTGTGGAATAGGTTACGGTTGAAATGAAGACATTTTGATGTTTTTGCTTTGGGTTGAAAATTCAAACTATTTTTGCTCTAGGAAAGCAAAAAGATAGCTCAGCACGGCTGAAAACAATGTTTGGGCTTTGGCTTCAGTCAAGATACTACCTCTACTCGCCTCAGAAACCTCATCAGGGAACACGCTCTCCCCTTGAATCAAACGGACTTCTTTGGAGTTCCAGGATTTGGAGAAGCAGTGAGTGCCCTTGTCCTTAGGGTATGTCTGAGTAAACGTTACTTAAGACCTGGCAGCCCAGCTCAAGCTACACAGCTACACTGAACGTTTCCTCCCCATGACCAGCTTGACTATGAAGTTCTCATTCAGCTCCTAGGGTTGGAGCTGAATGAGAAAGAAAACTACAGATCTAAAGAAATCTTCATAGAGGAGCTCATACCCTAAACGCACTCATCTCAAATGTCCTTTCTCGGAGCATTCTGCTCTTGGGTATTATAAAAAGTCACAATTTCCCTCTCTCTGCCACCCGTGAAGCATGTCACATGATCAGATTTACACAGGCATGTATCTAGTGTTAATTCTAAGAATTGGTGTGGGATACTTTCATACTTGCTGGGACTAAGTGAAAACCAGAATTACAAATACGCGAGCTCCTATTTCCTTTACCTGATCGAAGTGCAGGGAGAAGCGGCTGAGACGCAGCATGCTACTTCCCTAACTGGTTCCTGGAGGTGTTAAATAAATTTGCAGAATTGTTATCTTCCCTGGAAGCTGCTTTCTTGACTATGATGTTTTTAGCGGAAACGACGTGGTAACCCTCCGGCTCATCTGCATTGTCAAAGCTTGATTTAGTGAGCTGGGAGTGAATCCACCAACCCCATAGGAACTTGGGGAAAGGTAATTCCTATGAGCTGGAAGAAGACTGAATATTGACTTGATCTTTACACACACAACTACTTGAGCAGCATTTGTGAATTCTAGACGCAGTGGCATTCAGGTTTTGATGTTTTGACTTTTTGTGTATGTGTGCAGAGGCTGATGTTAGGTGTCTTCCTTAACTCATCCCCACTTCTGAGACAGGGTCTCTCGCTGAACTTGGAGCTCACTGATTGGCTAGACTGAAGGCCCAGTGAGCTCTGGGTATCCTTGTCCCTGCCTGCCTGCTGGGGATTGAAGTCGGGTTTCCAAAGCTTGCACAGCAGGCAATTCACAGCCGGAGCCATTTCCCTAGGCCTCCAAGTTTTGACTTTAAAAATAATACTCTCTGCCCCAATAATAATCTAAAAGCTCAAAAAGTCTTTTAAAAATATTTTATGGGTATGAACGTTTTGCTCACACATGTCTGTGCACCATGCGTGCCTGGTGCCCGTGTGTGTCCAAAGAGGGCACTGGATCCCCTGGAACTGGAGTCGTGGACAGTTGTAAGCCACCGTGTGAGTGATGGTGATATAACTTGCTCCCGTGAGAAGAGTAATCTCTCCCACCTCTCCCAAAGCTCAAAAGCCTCGTATATCCTGGGACCTGCAATTTCATTAAAAAAACAAACAGCCTTTGGAGGCTGCAGTTCCAGTCTTATATCGGTAAATCAAAAGATACTAAGTAGGGGGCTGGAGAGATGGCTCAGTGGTTAAGAGCATTGCCTGCTCTTCCAAAGGTCCTGAGTTCAATTCCCAGCAACCACATGGTGGCTCACAACCGTCTGGAATGAGGTCTGGTGCCCTCTTCTGGCCTGCAGACATACACACATTGTATACATAATAAATAAATAAATAAATAAATAAATAAATAAATAAATAAATATTTTTTTTTTTAAAAAAGATACTTAGTAGTTGTAGGCAGCCCACACTCCTCCATCCAAGAGTTATACCGACCACACAAAATGCACTCTGGGGTTATTAGAAAACAAAAGAACATGACCTTGGAAGATGGTGGGGAATGGTTCTGGGGATGTGAAGGGTAAATATGATCAAAATAATTACATACGTATATAAATTCACAACGAATATTGTCTAAAAACAGAAGGAGGAAAACGTTACCGTAAAGGAGCATCTCTGAGGATTCAGGAGGGTCTGTGTTATCGAAAACGTTTCGTATTTCTAGTCATATATTCTGTGGAACTCATGAATCTTTTTCCTTACAATGAATCCCATTGCAGGCTATAAGAAGCTGCAGTAGTAAGTAGCAGTGAGTGAGGGTCTACACCTGGGTATCCCAACAGGAAGCAGCAGCCTGCTTCTTTGGATGTTTCTAAAGTACAGTTATCACTGCAGCCCCACGACGCGAAGCTGCCGTACAGAAGTCACACACACACACACCAGGATGACCTTTGTCTATATTTTATACAAATACAACAGTAGTTTGTGAATACATTTTAAGTACATGATATACACGATAAGCCATTTGATTTTCCAATATCACAGAATAGCAATTTAAAATGCAATAAAAATATACAAAATTCAGTCTGGAATGCAGATTTTTTTTTCATTTCTATTTGACTCAAAACTTTACCATTAGAGCATTTTTAGAGTACTAGTCCAAACACTTTTTTCATTAGCTAAAAATACAATTTCAGCAGTCAGCTTATGTTCAGGCATGATGCAATCCATTTTCTTAATGGACTCCCAGTTTTTGTTAAATTCAAAGGGCTGTTAGTAACTTACAGTGTGTTCTTCACTCCACACCCTACGGCAAGCCCACTTTCCACTCTGAGTTACAGTCACCTTGTGGACAAAAAAGCTGGGTTTGTTCTGGTAACATTTGCACATCCATGATCTCCTTTTGCAAGCGCACATGAATACACTGTGGTGGGGTAAAAGTTTGTTAATGACAAATTAAGTCACAGTATAAAAATATATTGTACACCTTTACACCTATGTAGTCCTTTTCCTATGGATACAAAAAAATACAACTGAACGAGACAGAAGTTTGTAGCACCGTGAGAGCTGTGTCCCAAGTGACAGTAGCAGCATATGACCCCATATAATGTTGAAGGAGGGTTTCTGAGAAGAGAGACATCCATTCTGGTCCGTCTGTACCACTGAAGCTTATACAGAGACGTCTGTGTCATCTACAGAGCTAGATAAGCGACCAAAAGACACTGCCTTCCATCCCCAGGGGCTGCTAACATTGGAGAAAGGCTTACTGGTGATCTGTGTGCTGTTACTAAGGCTGGTGGCGTTAGCTTGCATATAATCTCCGAGGAGCGCTCTGTGGCTACAATACGATTCAGGTGTTCACGCAGACCCACGTGGTGATCAAGATACATCGTGTTGTAGGCCTGGCTGCTGACAGCGTGTACAAAACAAAACAGACTCACCGAGGGACTCATCAGTCAGAAAAACCAGTCTGCCTTCACTAAGGACGAATACTCAACATTGAGAAGGTCTCCTCCAATGTCACATGGATCTCAGTAGGCTAGAAGCAACTTGGGTGAACTGGTATCTTTTTTTTTTTTTTTTTTTAACTTACTTATGGACTGGGAAGACAGTGTGCTTTGAGATACGTAAACCTTGTAAAAAAATAAACCATTGTAAAACCATATGAAAAGACACACACTGATTCTGTGCAATATAGCAAATCGATAAGAAAACACTGTAAAAATGTACCTGTTTAAAATACCATCTACCATTTTTTTTGTACACAAAGCATTATATATCAAAGGCCTACATATATATCATCTAATGGCACTTGAAACGAATATAATAAGTCTTAAAATAAAAGGCATAACCTATAGAAAGTTTCCGTAAAAGTTTAGGTTCATTTTGAAAGTGCTATATCTTGTAGTAATGTGAAGTATAGAGGTCGACCAAGCTCTATTTTTTTAATTGGCCTATATGTGTACTGCTCACTAGATGAACGATCCTGAAATATGTACTCTATAACATTCATTATTAGCTTAATAAAGCAATCAGCTCTGGCTCATGTTTCAGTCAGTATATGGTTTTAAAAAACCGTCACTGTCCAAATTAACACAATATATCACTATATTCCACAAATGGCTAAAAAAAAAAAAAAGCACAAGCAACAAAGACGCAAAAACACACAGCTCGAAAGAAACGCTGACTGAAGTAATAATAATGATAAAAAAAAGTCGCATACAGAATGGTGCATAACCCACCAAGACAACTTAAGTCCTAGAAAACTGAACTACGGAATAGGGTTTTAAATGAAAGCTTAACAGTGACCAATAACTACCAGGGTGGTATTAGTAAATATCAATGGAGTATATTGCCTACGGCGCCTCGGTTCTCCCACCGTCGTGCTCCTGCAGCTGCCGATACAGTCTGCACGCACACGTGGGGGTCAAACTGATGAGGCTCGGTATCTTGTCTGAGCTCCAAACTCTACACTAAACGATTTTTTGTTAAGGTTAATCCCTTTTCTTTCAGCCAATCTAAGGCACTATCAGAAATTCCAAGGACGATGAATCTGGCCACTGGTGAATGAAAAACAGCATCGGCAAGAACTATCCCTAAACACTCCTACTTCAAATAAAAACACAAGTGACAACATTTTCTGGGGGGGCGGGGAGCCAATTCTGTGTCACATCCTTGTTAAAACATTGTGCAATTACATTACAAGCTGCCTGATCTTTAATAGAAAAATCTATCAAGAAAGGGTTTAGTGACCACTGCAGTCAATTAAAAAAAAAAAAACAAAAACAAACAAACAAACAAAAAAAAATCCAACCCAACTTGCTGGATTCCCTCTTACTTTGAAGTGTTCTTCAAGTCTGTGGGGGCAGCAATAGGCAGAGAGGTGTACATACGAAGAAAATGAAGACTCTACGTTTTAACACTGGTACCCTGGAAGATGTGTATTAGAGTTCTGTGCAGGGCAAGAATTAGGATAAAAATATATTTATATATATACAGATATGGCGCCTTTCCCATTTCAAAATGCTTTATTTCATTATATCCTGATACTCCCTTTTTTTCAATTAGCAGTGAAATACAGCCCACAGAGGCCGACGTCTCAGGTCATTAGTGTGACTTTTTTCTTACGCAAATTTGAGATAGAATAGGCTAGTGCTTTCGTATGTGGTGTCTGGGACCAACCTCTACATAAAAATAGGTTTTCTATTTACTTGTGCTCTGTCACCAACTTTCTTTTCCTTTTTCCGTGGTGAGTAAAGCAATATTGAACACTAATCATTCAACTAGAGCTTTAGGTAAGCGATCTGTTTCACAGAAACTAAGGAAGCCGCCTTGAAGCAGAGCAAAGAGCCCACGTGGAGAGTGAGCACGCTCCCGACCACAGCTCAGGAGCAGCTTGAAGAAGAGCTAAAAATGCATTTCCTTATTAACATATATAATTTTAATGCCTTTGGAACACTTTTTTTTAATAAAATGTAAATTTTCATAATAAAATTTAAATACATAAGTATAAAAACTATTGCTCCAGGGTGAAAACCGGGAGCGAGAGCCCTCCAGAGAGTGACTCTGAGTCTATGAAGTGCGCTAGACGTGTGTGTAACATACAGCGAAAGCCCCATCCATATGACATCTTACACTTCTCCTCGATTTATACTACTCCCAAGTATTTTAAATAATGCGTTATATTCAGCAATCTATACTCATGTTTAGAATTATTGGTAAACAATGCAATCTGCAGTGATAGTTGGCCCTAGGAAAGGGAACGGGTCTCCCCATACAGGGCTAATTGAGTGCTCAGAAATTCAGAAATATTTTTTTTCTTTTCTTTTTTTTTTTTTTTAAGAGATACATACTCTTCTGTAAATTTTCCCCTACCCCTGCCCCAACAAAAGGGGTCTCAAAATAAGGAGTTAACAAGTGCTTAATAGATACAGCTTGTAGGCTGATGCCACGAGCAACCCTTAGGAAAATCTCTACGGCACCGCCGATCAGAGCCCTGGCTGGCGTGAGGAAGCCATTACTACCGCGTCTGTGAGCACCATACCCTCGGTGCTTCCACACTCACTCGGTGTGTGCTTTATTTTCCTTGTTTCCTCTACAAACTCGGCTTATTGTGTCACACTCCTCCCGCTCGCTAAGGTGTGTCAAGAGTGGGGTTTTGCTGTGTGGGTTGTGTAAGACGTTGTGGAGATTCCTCAGGTAGCGTGTTAATGTGTGTAAGTTCTCCAGCCGACCACGGCGGGGCGAGGAGGACGCACATTGCTGTTTTAGAAATGACGGGATAGGTAGGCTTTTACTCTGCCCCGAAAGAGTCCAGTTTTCAGCTCTGGCAACGGTGGGGATTCTCTAGACAAGTTCTGAGGTTTGGCTGTATGTTTGACATCCATCGTCCCGCTGAGGAGTCTACTCTGGGTGTTTCACTGACTACTGCCCCACAATGGCCCCCGAGACTCTGGACTGACTACGGACAACGTGCAACATTAAGAATGCTGGTTCACTGAGGCCATCCTGGGTACGAAAGGCGAAGGACAGGGAACAGGACATCTCTACCCTGCTCCTGAAGACTGACGCCACACACTGTTAACATAAAGAGAAGACAGTCGAGATGTGGCAAAACAGTGCCAACACAGAACACCCTGTGACCTCTCAAGGTTCCTTGTGGATACCGAAACTCTCTTCTCTCATTTTGTCAAGACAAAAGTCTTCAAAACATATTGATCTGAAATGATGGCATATTTAAGAAACCACTATAATCTCCCCAAGCTGGATTCTCGATTCCTTTAAAACACTTGATCATGAATCTATTTAGTGGCTAGCAAAACATGTAAAACACCTCAGCTATTCACACACGCTACATAAGATTTACATGGTACTGCATATTTGCAAAAAAAAAAAAAATGAGCCAAATGTCCGATGCCCAATGCTATTAGACAAAAATGAAAATTTTAAAGTCTAATAGTAATTTGAACACAGGACCTGAAGAATTTAGCGATAATAATGGCGCTCCTATATGAAATAAAACTCTGAGGCTATGTCAACTGGCAGTAAATCGGGAGAAACGGCAAACGTATTAAACATGAACGGTTTCAAAGCTTACCCAAGAGGCTAGTTCCTATTATTTACTGGCTTCGTGAAACCTGATATTATACAAAAGCAGAAGTTTTTGTATTGTCTTAAAGTAGGCACTAAGATAAAAACGGTCAGCGAGGGCGGGGCTACACGCGCGCCTCCCTCTAGAACCTGCCGCCAGGCCCTACTGGAAGGCCTGGTGGAAACGGGGCAGGGTGGTGCTCGAGCTCAGGCTGCTGGTGAACGCCGCGGAGAGCGAGTGCAGAGAACCGAGACCCACGGCGCTCGCAGGATCCTGGAGATCCTGTGTTTGGGCAGGCAGCTGAGAAACAGAAGAATGCGCTTCGTCTTGGGAATAGCTCATCCCGAGGCTCCCCACGGACAGAGGATTGTAAGGAGGGCCATTTAATGGTATAAAATTGAACAGCTGAGAAAAATCCAATGCTGGTGTGTTGAGGGGGTCACTGATGGAAATAGAGCTCTTTGACAGCGAGAGGTCCCCCGCACCGTCATCGAGGGACCCGCTCTGAGGATCTAACCCTAACTTAGATGACGACGCTTGAGAATCCTGGGAGGAAGAGGGCGCACCACTTTGTAACTCCATCAGGTAACTCTCAATTTCCCCCTTTAATGGCTGTTCTTTTTCAGGAATAGAGATTGCGTATGAGGTAGAACTGAACGGGCATTTGAAAGCAAGATGGTGGGAGGGATGAACAGCATCCATATCTATGGGGCACGTCATTCCCAAAGGTAAGGTTGTGATCATTTGGTGAGCAGATCCGGAACTCTGCATGGACTGAAATGGAGTGTTATAGAGGTTTAACTGCAAAGTGTTTGTGAATGGCTTGGACAAGAGTTCACTGGAAGGTAAGGACATCACCGGCAGGAGCTCGTCCTTTATAGGCACAGACATGTTACAGGTGAAAGGGTCCAGGAAATCTACCGGTTCCGTTTTGACCTTCAGAAGCTCTTGGTTGTGACTCTTCTTCATATGTCGAGTGAGGTGATCCTTCCGTCCGAATCTCTGTGCACAGTACTGGCAGAGGAAGTCCTTTCTCCCCGTGTGCACCACCATGTGTCTCCGGACATCCTTCCGGGTGTAGAACCTGCGCTCACAGTGCTCGCACTGGTGCTTCTTCTCCTTCACGGCCCCGGAGGACTTGCCCGCGTGCGACTTCAGGTGCTCCAGGAGCACGCCCGTGCTTTCAAAAGTCTGCAAGCACACCTTGCAGGTGAGGTCGCCGCTGGTGGCAGCGTGCAGGGCCAGGTGCCGCTTGAAGCCGAGCTTGGTGTTGTAGCTCTTGCCGCACTCCTCGCACTTGAAGGTCTCTTTGTTGGGGTCGTGGGTGTGGAGGTGATTCTTCAGGTGGTCTTTGCGGTGAAACATTTTCTCACAATAATTACACTTGTGGGTTTTCTCAGGAGAGTGAGTAGCCATGTGCCTTTAAACATAGATAGATTCTGTGAGTGAATATCTTAGCAAAAGGGGTACACGCTCATTCTTCAAATGGGAAGCTAAACTATAAGGCTAGCTCACAGCTCTCTTAACGAGGGTCTCCCTGAGCAGCACACAGCACAGTCAACACACTGCAGAACCTGAGCCATCTACGTTGCCTCTTTAGTGCTGACTGCTTTTCAGCTCTCATTCAAGAGTAAACAAGCAAGACCGAACACATTCATGTAATGTCCACACCCTTTCCATGAAGAAATTTCTCTTTACACACGGAAATTCTACTCTCGTTAAGCATTTTTTACTTTAAAAAAAAAATCCAAAGACACTACCACAGAAGTATGTAACTTAGAATATTCCAGGCTACCCAATGTCTAATCTACTTAAACATTTCCTGTCTGCGAACGAGCTGAGAAATGTGTATACAGATACACACGCTTACAACGGCTTCAGACGGCCAACACAAGAGAAAGCATAATCTGAAAGACAAATAGAGCGTAGTACCTTTGTAATTTGTACTTAGAAACAAAGGCCTTGGTGCAGTCTTGTTGTGTGCACTTGTAGGGCCTCTCTCCTGTGTGAGAGTACGAGTGAACCTTTAATTTCTCAACACTGTTAAAGGCCTTGTCACACAGTTGGCAAGGGAAGTTTTTTCTTGGTTTGGTTTCACCACGCTTACGTTTCCCTGAAGGGGCTTTCTGGGTATCTCTTACTTCTGACAAATCACCAGGAATGACAGTGGCCATCGCAGCCTAAACCAGGCCTTCTTGTTGGACACCTGGGAACTGCCCAACTCCACTAAGTGATATAGCTTTAGGTGGCTTCTCAAGTTTCATGTGGTCGTAAAAGAAAGCAAAAAGGGACTGGAAAAAAAAAATAAGAAACAACTAGTTTGTAACTAAACTCAGTTAAAAAATTATTTGCTTTGTGATGCTTTTGAATTAAAAAAGAAACCATAAAATGGATTCAGCTGGTCCAATGTAATATCTGTAGGTTCCTTTGTATTTTCCAAAACAGATAGATATCAACGCATTGCTCAGAATGGACAGTTCATACATACCCTGAAATCGCACCTGACAAACACTGGACTTAGCAGGACAGCAGTGAACTCACGAACTCTCAGAGTAGGTCTAAAGGTTGCACCAGAAACTTCCCTCTTACAGCTGAACAGCCACTGCACTCTGTGCCTACCATGCCGTGCATGTGGGTCACGCGGATACACGCACTTAGAGCACCTGGCAAACCAGGGGGTCCACAGAAGAGGTGCGGGAAGCTGAGATCCCGTAGGAAGAGAGGTGAAAGCACCACGGAGTGCAAACTGACCCTTTGACCAGTGTTAGAATACTCTGAGGGGGCTTCTGAACGAGGGTAGAAGTGATTGATCTTCAGAACAAATATTCTTGAAATGGTAAAGCCTGTCGATACTACTTGAACACTGCAGACCCTTGTCATCTGGGGAAGTAGGGTTAGTGTCCCTCAATTGTTTCTACGTCACAGAGAAGATTATTCTCACTGGGTGCACTAATGTTACTAATAAGCTGGAGCCATTAGGCCTCCCCAAGCTGAACAAATTAACTTTTGATACAACTGAACCTGAGTGTGGCACACCTGTTCAGAGTTCTCAACATCTGTGCAAAAATGCATCATCACAGAAGTGTTTCGCCCTGAGTTTCAATTCACTATCAGTGCTATGAGAAAGAACGAAGTATGTATCTTGAGCAACAAAGAGTATGTCATTACTTTTAAACAAGATAATTGAAACTAAACAGAAACCTCCATAGATAAGAAGTAGTTAATATAATTAACTCTATTTCTCAGAGCAGGAAAATCAACTCCTCAAAGACTTTACTGCTATGTGAGTTAGATCAGTGGTTCTCAACCTACCAAATGCCACCACCTTCATGTTGGAGTGACCCCCCCAACTATAAAATTACTTTGTTGCAATTTTATAATTACAATTTTGCTACTGTTATGAATCATAATGTAAACATTTGATATGTGACACAGGTGGGTGAGAACCACTGAGTCAAATGTTCCCTCAAGGTTTCTTAAGGTAATTTAGAGGGGTTCTTCCAAGAGACCACAGAAATGGTAGCAACCGTAATGCCTTTTAAAAGGATCTGACTACTAAATATAGTTAAATGAATTTGCCATCCTCTTATATATTTTAAAGAAAAAAACCCCCCAACTTCCTTATCTCACCTGTGTTTTGGTATACACATGCCTTTACACAATTTAGTGTGTTACACTCACTTTCACAGATTCCAGTTAGATTTTTTTCAGGAATTCTAAACACCTACTTTTGGTAATACTTAAGTGCATGCCGTATCTTTTTGTGCTTTAGCAGAGAGGCTGTCCCTAGTAGACTAAGCAGCAGTGAGCCATTAGGACTGAAGCAGTACAGCATTCAGGCAAGCTGAGCACATACAGTTTCTTTTTGTAAGACAGATGCAGGCCTTTACATTGTTCTAAATATCAGGAAGCTCCTCTTGCAGTTTACAAATGATATTAATATGATGCAACGAGTATCACAATGCTGATGCAGCTGTTAGCTCTGACATCACACACTGATGCAGCTGTTAGCTCTGACATCACAGCATGGATGAGCTGTTAGCTCTGACATCACAGCACTGATGCAGCTGTTAGCTCTGACATCACACACTGATGCAGCTGTTAGCTCTGACATCATAGCCCTGATGCAGCTGTTAGCTCTGACATCACAGCACTAATGCAGCTGTTAGCTCTGACATCATATAACTCATACAGCTGTTAGCTATGGCATCATAGCACTGTTGCAGCTGTTAGCTCTGACATCACAGCAGTAATGCAGCTGTTAGCTCTGACATCACAGCAATAATGCAGCTGTTAGCTCTGACATCACAGCACTGATGCAGCTGTTAGCTCTGACATCACAGCACTGATGCAGCTGTTAACTCTTGACATAATATAACTCATACGGTCGTTAGATCTGACATCATGGCACTGTTGCAGCTGTTAGCTCTGACATCCCTGCACTGATGTAGCTGTTAGCTCTGACATCACTGCACTGATGCAGCTGTTAGCTCTGACATCACAGCAGTGATGAGCTGTTAGCTCTGGCTGTGGGTTTTCTGAAGCTCAAAGATTTGCTCTCTTCCTGTTATGAGCTCATTCAAAGGACAGGTGTTTTGCCTCCCTCCACGTTAGGGGTAAGAGCTACTCTACAGCTCAATAATGACAGTAAATTAGTATACAGCTTTAATTTTCATTGTGACCTCCTCACTTAATGCTTTCATAGACCTACTCAGACTATGACCACGTCGATCATTTTCCAACTGCAGGATCAAAAGGGAATGCAAGGCGTCTAATTAACTAGGTCTGAACACTGGTCATAATCACCACTGTAGCAACACAGCTGTGATGCTGAGGATTCCACAAGAGAAAAGCAACTTTAACTCAACTCCTTCCTGACAAGACATTAAAAGGGCACCATAAAACAACATGCACGCATCTGATCATTAAACCGGGGTACTCAATCTGAAGTAACGAATGGATGTTTCTGGATGTACATACTGAGCAATGAGGAAGTGCACTGATAGCAAATATTACACTTTTCTAAGACCAGCTGAAAATTTTCATGGCTGATAATGCTTTTATATTTTAATCCATTACAAAATTCAAGTTACTTATCATAGGTACATTTAAAATTTCAGGATAAATATAAAGTTGTGAATGTAACATCAAATAAAAATTATATTCACAATATGTTTATCAACCAAATACTTTAAAGGCACATGCACATAACTAGTGATTTTTGTTCAATGCATACCTGATTAAGGATGGAAAAAGCCTCAGACTTTGATCTTAGCCAGTCCCATTAACTCTTCGTGGAAGAGAGCAGAATCCAGCCCTTCCCATTTTGGCCAATCTATGAAGAAGTAAAAACAGAATGGATTATAGTATAAGTGAAACTAGAGTGTGAAGGGCAGAAAATAAAGCATGAACGAACTGCAATTTCATAGCGCATGCTATACTCCACTCTGCTGCTGGGCCGTGCACTAATTCCCACCAACTGCTTGCTTTGATTAGTTGTAAGCACACTTTACATGGCCAAATAAATGCACACATAAAAAGAAAAACAGCATTACCTAGAAGAAAAAAAAGCCAATTTGTGATGCTGAATGATTCCCCACTTGTTAATAAAAAAGGAACCTAACCAAGGGAAATGGCTCTTAGAGTTACTGACCGCAAACAAAGTTGGTGAAGAGTCATTAGGCTTAATGTGGTGGAAGACACAAACTCAGTTTTCGTCAGGAGAGTGCCTCTGGAAACCTCATCTCAGCATGGCTACCCACACTGCCTACACTTGTAACTGGGGCTACTTGCAGAACTGCCAATTTAAACTGAAGAATGGGGTAAGGCTGGTTGGAATGTGGCAACCACTCTCTGTTCAGATTCCAGGTACATATGGGGACATTAAATACAGCTTTGCTACAAGAGGCAGGTGTCAGGGAAAAGGCAATACTCGTTGCGTGAGACCACTGTTGAAAAGCCTGAAGGTATCTTAAAGATGCCTGCTATATATATATACAACACAGTATATATACAAACTGTGTTAATATTTACGATGAAAGAAAATGGCACAACAATGGTATAAAGTAAAAGAGATCTACAATTATTACAAAGAATAAAAGGCAAACAGTGGTTAGTACGCTGTGATTATTTGTAATTAAGTACTCAGAAGTATTTAATTAGAAGAACTTGAGGGGTAATAAAAATCAAATACTTAAAAATCACTAACAAAAGGATTTGCCAATGACAGGTTTGGTTTAAAACTTTTCAAGTGTATAACAATCTAATAATATTTCTTAAAATCTTCAGTTACTTTCAGAATTTTATGATATGTAAAATAATATAGAAAGAATATTTAATAGAGGACATTCAAGCATCGTTACAAAATTACTAAGTACATAGAAACCAGTATTATTATTATTCACATTATTTTAAAAAAACTTTAGACAAATAAAAGTATTTTTAAAAGTCCAAGCAAAAGCCCCATTTTTATTAAGCATAGGACATGCATAAGTGGAAAAACATTAAAACTGCAAAACAGTAGCATTAGTTTTGTCAATACTTACTTGCCCAGGGCACACACTGAATATTTGGTGTGCTAATTATGAACATAAAAGTTCATTTTATGTGCTATTACCTGAATAATGTAAATACTTTATAAAGAGTATTTTCATTTGTGGCCTTTCCTTGCAGTCAGTGACCAAGACGGCTGCATCTACCCCCACTGCTAGTGAACTACATGCTGTCTGTGTGGTCAAGACAGGATTTAGGCGCCAACCCCTATCTCATCTCCATCCTATTGTGATCTGTGATAGGGCAGGTTAGCAAGACAGCCTGCATGTGGAGAAATCCTGACATTACACTTGGAGCCCAGAAGGAGGTCAGTGCCATCATTATTCTATAAGAACTGCCAAAAAAAAAAAAAAAAAAAATCCAAAAGGAAGTAGTAACTAAGGAAAAAGTTTAAAAGCAATTTGCAAGGTAAATTTTTAAATAATTTAATTAATCATTAAAATAATTAGCAATTCTGGGTGCATGATTTGGGTAGAATTAATTCTAAAACCAAAGTTGACTAGCAAATAACAAATCTGTATTTTTAGTTATAAATCTTACTGCCCTCTAAACACGTCACACTCTACCTATGCTGAGTTGTGCAGGGCATTTCATAACAGAAAGGCCTCAGTGGCTAAGGATTTCAGACAGTCCACAAACAGAACTGTCTACAAATTACCCCCGCTATATAGCTTATATCCAGAAATAAAATTGCAAATAAAGCCACCATGTTCATTTAGTTTATCTTAAAACGTAACTCCTAAATTAATTTCTCTAAATTTTACCCTACTTTGAATTTTTATTAGTTGTCAAATAATTTCAAAGAACTATTCATTATTTCCCTAAACAAAGGAAATCAGGAGTTGATTAGATTTGGACAGAATAAATATAAAAAATAAACACAGCTTATATTTATGTACTCCTAACTAAAATGCTAACTAAACTTATCTGTGTATTCTGAGTCCGGCGGGAGTAGTGGGGGTAGTGGTGGTATCATCATTGCTCTAAGTCTGTAACCCAAAAAACTTACATTCATGCTTCTCTTTTATAGTTAAATACTTTATCAAAGATTGGTTCCATCATTTAAGTGCTGGAATCCCTCTGTGCCTTTGTCTGAGGGATTGTAGAAGGTGGGGAGCACGTACACCCACGCTACACCGCCCTCCAGTGACTCCAGAACACGCCCAGCCCTGCTGATTCCACCTCCACCCTACCCGGCAGGTTTCTGCTTTAGATAGCAGCGGTAGCTGGGGGAAGAGTCTATGCTTGGGCACGGAAGTTCATCTTCTTACGTTTTGTTTTATTCTGAGGAAATAGTGGCTCATGAAGAAAAATAACAAGCAAACAAATCGCACATCAGGAGGGTTTACTGAAATTGATTTCTATGAGATGTTGAAACAGTTTTTGTATTTTGAATCCCACAGTTCTGAGAGTTGCTTTGTCAACAGTTATAAAGCCTGAGCCACACTTACCTGCACTGATAATGTTTTCATTTTAAAAAGCCAGAGATTTTGCTAAGAATCATAACAAACCACTGGCTCACAATTCAGAAAGATGTCAACATGTGCTTAAAACACTTTCCGTAGAGAATGAACGGGGTGGATCACAGAAGGAAACTTAGCAGCGATAATACTTTATATGTATGATAAAATAATAAAATATTGAAGAACGGGAGATGAACTAGATTACATAACTGAACTCAACTTTGAAGGAGGCATACCATATATTTGGAGCACTGCTTTAAAACATCATTAATCCTATCTAACTTGGGAGTTCTCGGCAGTCAGCTCTCCGTCTACAGAGTCCCTTGCGAGAGAAGAATAAAAACTACATTGAATTACAAAACTTAAGAAAGGGCAACGAGGTGAGCATGATCAAAATGCATTCTATACACATATTAAACTGTCAAAAAATGAAGATTAAAAAGAAGACAAATGCAAAAATCAAACGAACAAAAAAGACCTTCAGAGAATGAGCAATCAACTGTAGGCAGCGCGGGGCAGGGTCAGGCCAGTTTTATTCACTGCTGTTTCCCATAAATGACAGTAAAGTAACTGTTGAATGAACAAGAAAGATTAAAACGGTAAGTGCTTACCACTAACATAATGACCTGCAGGCTTGCTCATCATAGCAGACAGAAGACAGCAAATACACATTCCAGTCCAAGATAATACTAGCACTTATAATAACTTAAAACCTGGTTGAAATATTCACCTTTTCCAGCATGCTCTAGTGGATGAGATCCTTATGGAATTAGCTAGCATGAGCAGAGAACATCAGTCCAGCCCCACTCCTAATAAAAATTCCTCGAGTGAAAACATGCCTGGTACCTGTGCTACCTGGCCTGAAGCAGAAAGATGGTGAGACGCTCAGGTGGAGCGAATTATCTCTACAGGGGACAGAGGAGCAGCAAGCCCACGGTGAAGCAGTGAGCACAGCCAAGATGTGTACTTAACTCACCTGAATTTCGGGTCATCAAGAACTCAGCAATGATACTTGAGCAAAATCACAACACTTACTTTTAGCTACATTAGATGCCAGTCAATTAATCATACAGTTAAGGATGCCTTTTGAAAATTTTCTACATTTGATTTTTTTCTATTTGTTTTGAGTAATTTGTTAAAACATAGTTCTACGACAATCTTTTTCAACTTTACCACAAAATTAGCCCTAATCATATCTAGACGCATCCTATATTTAATATAGAGCAAAAACTTAGAGAGGCGAAGGAAATGGCTTATCTTTTTGTTTTTAAGGACAGGGAGGGCAACGTCCACAGATCTCAAACTTGACACCCCAGAGTTCCCAGAAACTCCACCACTACTCTTCTTTCTAGAGAGTCACACAGAACCGCAGACACCCAGGAACACGGGAAAGTCAAGCAAATGTGCTTTTTAATTCACAAATACGTGCCCTGGTTATTTATGATGGAGGAGAAGGGCCAGCGGGTTAAAGCAGATGAATGGGCTGTGACTCAGGAGTCAGCATGCATGTCTTACGTGTACGGGAGATCTCTGTGACTGCACATCTCTATGAAATGGAAACCAGGACACGGAGCATGCCAGACATGTCTCACTTGGTGTAGGAACATAAGTGCTTGCGTGGAGGAAACAAAAGAGGAATTGCAGAAGGGGAAGTGAGGAGGGTGAGCAGGAGGGGCAGCCGATCGCGATTAGAACAATGTAAAGTAAGAAAGTTTAATCAATACTAGTAGCTGTTTTTGGAGGATTTTCTGGGCCATGCAGCTACACTAGGAAGGCGGTGGCCCGTGGGTCACGTTCCTGAGTTCATTCTCACTACCGCTAACTGCATGTGTTGCTGGGGTGGGTGATGATGAACTACCCTAGCACACTGATGTTCTGAACCACTTGGAGTATGTCTTCTAGGATGAGTAGTTACCTAATGCCATTCAAATTACAGAATCCAGGTTTCATGTCCGGATTCTCAGGCACGCATAGCAAATCTGCAGATAAGCTCAGGAAAAGGTGGCGATCAGATGGAACGGAAGAAAAGTGCCAAGTAAAATCTTAGTTATAAAAATGTAAGTGAAGCCAGGCAGTGGAGGCACACACCTTTAATCCCAGCACTCTAGAGGCAGAGGCAGGCGGAGCTCTGTGAGTTTGAGGCCAGCCTGGTCTACAAAGTGAGTTTAGAACAGGCTCCAAAGCTACAGAGAGAAACCCTGTCTTGAAATAAACAAAACAAAACAAAAAACGTGAGAAATCACTTTGAAGCTATCAAGGTAGCGCACACTGTAAATGTCGGCCGTGCAGTGTGAGGAGGGATGAACGCTACCCGAGCTGCATGCTGAGGCTCAAGGAACAAGAAAATGCATGGCCACAGAACCCAGTCCTCACGAAAGCCTCTGCCCCTGCCACTAGTCTGTGCTAAAATCACATCTAGAAACAGAACTTCTCTGTATTCCCACATCTCCAAGATGACCAGGATTAGGCTAGGCAACATCATCAAGAGACCTAGCCAGTGTCCTGCCATGCTGTGGTCATCTGATAAACTTTATTTATTTGGGGTTTTATTTATTTGGGGTTTTGTGTGACAGGGTTTCTCGAACTCAAGAGACCCGCCTGCCTCTGCCTCCGAGTGCTGGGATGAAAGGCGTGTGCCACCACCGCCCGGCTCTATCTGATAAATATTTGTTGAGAAGAGCTGCAGTCCCTGGTAAGGGATTGCAAGAAGCAGAGCAGGCAGGGAAGCATGTTGTGAGCTCTGGAAACATCGGCCAGCTGCAAAGCACGACCAGAGAAAACCTAAGGCAGTGAAATGGTTAGTGTGCTCTGACAGAGGGGTGAGCGGGATGTGTCCAGGATGGCTGGAGGCCACTGGGGAGCCTTACTGCTTCTGCACCCCAGCAGGTGGCCCCAGAAGACAAGAGTGCAAGCAGGGGACTCAGGCACATGCTATTCAGACCAGGCGGGCTGGGAACTAAACAGTGGACATCCCAGAAACCGTCCTTGTTCACACGCTCTGCCCCTGTACGCATAAGCACATGTGCCCTGTGCTGATCACAATGCATCGTCTAGAAATGAACGAGAGTCTTATGCAAAGAAAAATCGTTTCAAGTGGAATTCTAAAGCCTTTAAAGAGAATATTCTATATGTGAGGTTAAGAATGAGGATGCCACTGTAAATATCAAAGGAAAAAAAAAATCAACTGATCACAATACAAGAAAGTCAAAAAAGGTAAGCTTTGTATAAACAGTATGGTTGAGAAAAAGTAAGTATTTTTCCTTTCTCTAGCTACTAAAAATAGCTCCACAGTAACAGAACTCAGTTAGAATAACACAATTGTACAAGGAGGACATGAGGTGGGAGGGATGTGATTCAAAGTCCTAGGGGGAACTGGAACTGGGGTGATGGGTGGGTCTGGTACATTATGTACATGTACAAAATTTTCAAAAAATAAATAAAACTAAAAGTCCCTATCATTATCAATGAAAATTCCATCATTAATAACAGTTTAAAAGATAATCCCACAAAATCAAAACAGTCATTAACACTTTTATTAAAAATATCTGCAGTGTAGAGATGACTAAAATTTTATGCTAACTCAAGCTTAAGTGTTTATTCTCCATAAGATTAGTTTATGACCCTTTAATTGGACGGTTAGTTCTTTTCATGTTTCTGAGAGGTTCTGTTTAGTTCTCAGTCCAAGGCCTAGTTTCTCGGGGGGGGGGGGGGGGGGCATTGGCCATAGATGACTTTTAGGAGTTTGAACCCACTGAGTAACCACTTTTTCCTTTTCCAGGCTCCTTTTCCTGGGGTCTGAGACTCTGAACTCCAGTCTTGGGCTTAAGGTCCCACTGACAGACTTACCTGGCTCAAATCCAGCTGTACTCAGGTTCCCAATATCGCTATACCTCGATTCTGTGCCACTGAGTTATAACTACAGTTGGGGAATCTAGATGTGTTCGTGTGTCCTCTTCCCGGCAGTGGTGGGAAGCTGCTCGGGTCCCACTGGGCTCTGCACTCTGGCATCAGCCCTGTTCTGGAGAGCCTACCTAACACCTAATGTGCGTCTCCACCTGCACACAGCTTGTAAGAACTTCTCGGCAGACGGGACACACAGTGGTTCTGGGGCATAGTTTAACCCTCTGTGGGCTCTCTGAGAGGAGACACAAACAGGCTGTGCAGAAGCTATGCATTCTCTGCCTTGTCCAGATGACAGGTTAGTGGAAGTCCTGCAGATCACAGAACACTGCAAGTCCTAAGCTCCTACGTGGCAGGCTTATTACGTGGCATGCTTTCCAAAGCTGTTACTATGATAGCTCACATAATTAAGGATCAGGAATCACTGATCCCTTTGAAAATCATGCCATATAATGATAAAAGCCACCTACCTGAGGCCCTGTTCCAAACTCTACCAAGGTCACCTTATTAATAGATCATCATAGAATGAAGCATTCTGGGTGCCCAATCCCACCAAGGCAGCACTGAGAGGCAACCTAGGAAGAAAAGAAGAATTAGTTTGGAATTCCAAAAGGCAGGCTTGATCTGCTTTACGGTGCATTTGTCATTCATTATCACTTATTCTTTGCTGGGAGCAAATGTAAAACAAAATATAGTAAGTTGGAAAATGAATATACACAAATGAGTATCTACAACTTGAGCCACAGTTATCTAGATGATTTCTTTTTACTTCATTCAGCTATATTATAAATTTGCTGATATTTTTCAAATTGATCATTTATTTTCTTTTTATATTCTAAAGACATCTATTCTTCTCCATGACATCATCACAGAAATCTTTTGTCATGCCCTTCTTGTTCTGAGCAAAGACGAAGGAAAAACCATGTCCTGTGAAGTGATCGCACAAAGGGTGCGAACTCCTGATGGCCAGACCCACCTTCAACAATATAGGAAGAAAAATCGAAATGTGTTCTCGAGTACACCACATGTGCAGTCAGCCTTGGTACCCCACGGTTGCAAATTATGAAGACAGACAGACCTCCAGGAGCATGTTCAAGACAGAAAAGGGAGGCTCCAAGTTCTACACAGAAAAACCATCTGCTTCCTATCTGGAGCTGAGAGCCAAAGTCCAGTTCACACAGTGACCGCCCTATTAAGATGAGTGGCCGACACTGATGTAAAAAATATGACCAACACCCACTATTCACAGTACTGCTCTGCCCTACCTGGGCACTGACAGATGCGACCTCTGTCCTGCAGGACTGTGCAAACTGCCATGAGGTGGGCACTAGTGACAAACAGTATTCTACAGGACAAGGCACACGGGAAGTTCGGGAGGAAGAGATACTATTCAGTTTTCATGACTTGCTTGAAGAATGTTCCCATAAGACCCCTCTCCCTTAAAAAAAAAAAAAGTGTGTGCGTCCGGAGTCTGCCAGGTTGGACACACCGGTCGCGGGGTCTAAGATGACCTCAAATTGCAGTGCAATGCAGCTTCCACACTTTCTGAAACAAGCACAGTGCAGTTCTGATGCTGTGGATATGGCCACATGTGTGTCCTAATGAAATAATCACGGGCTTTGGAAAAACGTGGCCATCATGAAAGCACTGAGGTCGACAAATACTTGGGGAGGCAGGAGGAGAATGTGCTTTCTTGACTGAAAGCTGTGACCAGAGGAGCGGCCCAAAGACAAGGTGACAATTAGCAAAAGGAACATTCCCCAGAGACTGCTTCTGTGTTGGCGTCGTCAAAGCAGTAAGATAAGTAAGAGGGGAGCCCAAGGCAGCGCAGCCTGTGCCCAGACACAAAACTAGCCAACTGGACACCAATGGCTACCAAGGTAGCGCAGCCTGTGCCCAGACACACAATCAGCCAACTGGACACCAATGGCTACCAAGGTAGCGCAGCCTGTGCCCAGACACAATCAGCCAACTGGACACCACTAAGAGTTACCACTAGGAGATAAAACCACAGAATCTCACAAGGAAGGAAGGAAAAGGTAGTAAAACAAAAACAGTTCTACTAAGAGCCATAGAACAACTCATAAACATTGTCTAGCAATAGCCATTTGGGGAGAAGGACACTAACTTTAGCAATAAAAACTATGGGCAGCAGAGGCCGGGTAAAGAACGAGAGGAGGGGCAGCAAGGAAGCATAAAAGAGGCCTGGCTGCTTGGTGGTGAAGGGCTTCCAGCAAGACGATGTTTTCTATTGTAGCATTTAAGAACAGAAGAGAGGAAGAAGGAAAGAGAGAGGGCAGGAGGAGAGGGGGAAAGAAGAGAGGAAAAGTAAGGGGGAGAGGGGCAAGAAGGGCGGAGAAAGAGGAGGGAGAGGAAACCAGAGGAGGAGGAAGGAGGGGAGGATAGGATAGGAGGGTTAGTTACTCTTCTACAGCTGTGATAAAGCGCCGTGATAGAACAACTAAAGGATGCTTTATTCTGGGTCACAGCTGGAGGTGCGGTGCATGGCAGCACAGCTGGAAAAGGCTGGTCCCACTGCCCCCAGTGCATGCTGTACTCAGCACTCCCTCTTTATGTACTCTGGGACCCACGCCAGGGAATGTGCCATCCACTTTTAGGATGCTCTTCCCACCTCGGTTAACCTAATCCACAGGACTCCTCACAGGCATGCCCCACGCTTGTCTCCTGGATGATCCAGGTCTTGCTTATAACCAACACTAGCCATCCCAGAAGGGGAGGGGAGGGAGGAAGAAGAGAGACTCAGCAGAAAGATCAGAAGGCTGAGTGTGAGCAGATACAGGGAAGGACTTGTGGCAAGCAGAAGGGGACCCAAGGAAGACTGGCAGATGACTTTGCAGTAAGAAAACTGGTTTCCCTATATTGACTAGGGATGTGTATGTTCATCTGCTGATCTTTTCTTGTCCCAGAATGAAAAAAATCAGTTTCCTCATGCTGGCCATGGCTGGGCAGAAGGGCCCGGTTTGTAGTTTAACAATAAAGAGCAAGGTAGTAGATGGAGGAAGAACAGGGAAGTCAGGACATCCTCCCGTTTCACAAAACAATAAACAGAACTTGGTACAAAGGACTCAGTCTTTTAGTTACTGCTGGTGGAAGACAGAAGACTAAACTGCTGAATCCTTCTGGAATATACTGTGGAAATGCAGAAAGTTCTTTAAAATCCAAATACATGGATTTGACAAATTATTTTTGAAAGTTAAAGTTCTCTCTCTCTCTCTCTCTCTCTCTCTCTCTCTCTCTCTCTCTCAAAGAACTTAGGCATAAAGTCAAAATAGATTTTAAGAATAAAATTGATAATGTTTAATAAAATGGATGGCTCTCAGTGTACATGTGACAGAATAAATATGCAGCTATTAAAACTTAACAAGTTTAAGATCATAAAATTACATGGAAAAGAGCAGTTAAAGAACTTAATATATTAGGGCCACAGGGGAAAACATACAATGCTAATTTTTAATATTATTGTTATTTTTTTAAAAAATGATTCTTTCCCTTTCTTTCTTTCTTTCTTTCTTTCTTTCTTTCTTTCTTTCTTTCTTTCTTTCTTTCTTTCTTTCTTATACAATATTCTGTCTGTGTGTATGCCTGAAGGCCAGAAGAGGACACCAGACCCCATTACAGATGGTTGTGAGCCACCATGTGGTTGCTAGGAATTGAACTCAGGACCTTTGGAAGATCAGGCAATGCTCTTAACCTCTGAGCCATCTCTCCAGCCCTATTATTGTTATTTTTAATTGTGTGTCTTCAGAGGCCAGAGGCACTGAACACCTCACCTCCCCACTTGAGCCAAATTTACTAATGGAAGTTGTCAGCTGCCCAATGTGGGTGCTGGGAATTTAACTCTGGTCCTCTATAAGAGCAACATGGTCTCTTGACCTCCAAGGCATTCTCTCCAGCTATGGCATTCTATTCAAACCTTTTCATGTATTTAGGTAACCAACAAATAAAAGATTGATAAGATAAAGACTGAACACTCTCTTATATTACCTAAATATTTTATTTTTATAATTAGGAATTTTTATTTTTACCAAAAATTATGTTTTTAACTGGAAAAGTTTGATGTCCATATATCTAGAAATGAAGTGAGTCATACTTCAAACCATATACAGAACTTGACTCTGGATCACAGATTAACTGTAAGATTTGGTCTGTGTAAAACCCAAGTTATAAAACGCTTAGAAGAAAATATTAGAAACAAAACTCTCTGTGAAGAGTAGGAAATTAGCTAACACCAATGAAAGCACAAACCGTTAAAACAACAAACAGGTAAACTGGACTTCAGCAAAACTTAAAAACAGTCTTCAAGACATCATTAAGAAAAGGGAAAACTAGGAGGTAGAAGACAGACAAAGCCTTACTTGTATCTAGAAAAAAAGAATTTCTAAAACTCGACAAGATGCAATAAAACAATTGAAAATGAATAACAATAATAAAAAATGCCAGGTGGTGGCAGTGGCTGACACCTTTAATCCCAGCACTTGGGAGGCAGAGGCAGGAGGATCTCTGTGAGTTTGAGACCAGCCTGGTCTACAAGAGCTAGTTCCAGGACAGGCTCCAAAACCACAGATAAACCCTGTCTCGAAAAACAAAACAAAACAAAACAAAAACCAAAAAACAAAAAAACCCCAAAATACAAAACACACACACACAAAACAAAAACAAAACGAAAAACAAAAACAAACCAAAAGCATTAAAAAAAAAAAAAAGACTAAGAAAGCCATTAGTAGGTATTCCCTCATGAAAACATAAACCGGCTGGAGAGATGTCTTAGCCATTAACAGCACATGCTGCTCTCACGAAGAATCTAAATCTGTTCCTAGCACACATATCAGGTGGTTTCCAAGTGCCTGTAACCCTAGCACTGGGGATCTTGCGCCCTCTTCTGGCCTCTTTGGGCACCTGCACTTTCATGCACATACGTACTCACAGATAAACACACAGATAGATAATTGAAAATAGAATATTATTTTTTTAAAAGGAAAAATTAAAAAAATGGCAAAAACTAACCCTACATGAATAGATGTTTGGCATCACTGGCTATCAGGGAAATGCAAATTAATAGCAGTGAGCTCATTCCATGGGTCCTAAGTGGTGGACTGGGCTTGGCAGTTATTGTGCAATAGGCCTCTCTGAAAGTGTATTACACAGTGGGCACACCCGTAATGAAAAGAAGGTAACAATGATGCAATTCACTTTGAGAACAGTTGTGGTTTCTTAAAAAGTCAAACATGCGCCTGCCATGTGACAGCCATTTCGTTTCTATCTACTTAGGCAAGAGATAAAAGCATACATCCTTACAGAGACTTGTGCGCGGATATCCAAAGCGCCTTTGTTTGAATAGTCAAAATTATATAGAAGCCAAATGCCTGTCAATGGGGACCCAATCCGCTGGGGAGCAGCAATAAGGAATGAACAGCAGATATTTGCAGAAA